AGGTGTGCTTAGGCAAAGAAAGTAGGGTGCAGGCCAAGCAGAGCATGGTCATTCTGTGTTACATGCAGCTACATGAACGTGCAGGAAACTCAGGACAAGTCCTCTGGAAAACAGAGGGCAGGGAGAGGCCAAAGGATGGCTAAAAGCGACTTTGCCTTTGTCCATGTTTGTTAAATATCTTAAATGAGGTTGTACTTCTGGTTTACTTCTGTAGTTAAAAAAAAAAACTTAATATATCATGAAGGATGTTCATACATTTTTAGCAAGTATACAATACAGAATAATCATTTCACTCAATGGCTGGGCTCTCTAGAGTAGCATTTGTGAGATTAAATAAAAAGGAATTTTAAGCATGGAGTTGAATATTTAGTTGTATGACTTCATTTAGGTCATAAGTGGTTTTAGAAAAAGTCCTAGGGGGAAATTCTCATCTTGCAAGAAAGAAAGCAAGCAGATTATTCGGGAGGAAAAACTCTAAAACTTATATAGTTGTGTCTTTGAGAAACTTCCTTGATTCCAAAAATAATAAAGGATATGAAAATATGAATAAAACAATAAAGTGTCAAGGGAAAAAGGCAGTTCTCAAAACAATTTTTTTTACCACAACTAAATAAGCTTCAAACCAGGCTTTCTGAAATGTTTCAGGAAAACAATTACTGAAAAATTGAAAGGGAATCTTATCCCAAGGGCTGCTCTAAATGCGCACTGATTTTAATAGGTCAAGATATGGGGCTTTTGAGATTTGTGCGAACTTTAATCGTAGGTACAAATATCCTTCAGTCCAGCTACTCCCTCGGGGGTACCAGCATCAAGTAGCCTCCAGAGGAATTTGGCAGAGGAATTCGGCTGAGCATATGAAAATGGATACTGAGATTATAATCACAGTTATGTTTGGGGATAAATGGCAGAATTATTGAGTCTTAGCAGTTCATTCTTGGAAGGTGAAATCTGGGCTTTGGCCTTGGCTATTTGGCATTGGACACATATGTCTTCAGTGCTCTTCCAAAGTGCTGTGGGACTGCTCAAGGTTCAAGGTTGATAATAGCCAGCCATTCAGCTCCTCCCATTTGTCCATCAAGCCTGCAGGCAACTTCTGGCTTTGGAGATTGTCTTAGCCTGTTTTCTGTGACTATTGCAAAATACCCAAGACTGAGTAATTGGTAAAGAAAAGTGGTGCATTTTGGCTCACAGTTCCGGAGTCTAGGAAGTCCAGTATCAGGCACTTACATCTGTTAAGGCCTTGTGCTGCTTCAATTCACGGCAGAACAAAGAAGGGCAAGTAGTCCATGGGGAAGAGGGTGAACTTGCAGGGTGACCTTGCTTTATAACACCTGGTTCCCTTGGTAAGTGATCCACTCATTGGGCAGGAGGGTGCTGTCACTCCTGGGAGAAGGGCAAGAAGCCATGCAGGAGGTCTCTGCTGTGTGACCCAGACACTTTAGATAGGCGCCCGCCAGCATTGCCACATCAAGGCTAAAGCTCCAGGTGAGCTGTGGTAAACTAGATGAGCAGGAAACTTCTCTTCCAAGACCAAGTTCTCGGCAGTCCCACCTTCTGGACACCCGATATGCATCTGCCATCTGCCACCAGCACACTGTGCCCTCTCAGTCAGTAGGTGCCTAGAGGGAGCATGGGTCAGGCCCAGGCTTCCTGCCCTTAGGCATGGCCCAGAGCTGAGCTCCAGCCTTGTTCCACCGCTGCGCGCCCCTTTCCCAAAGGCTCTGGACAAGCAGAGCCTCCCTCTCCCTCTCTCTCTTTTTTCTTTTAGTATGGGGAATTGAACTCATGCTTTACTAGGGAAGTGCTTGAGCCACTGAGCTAAATCTCCAGCCCCTCAAACAGCGCCTCCCAAGCCCCCTGATCTTCCGCTCCAGGAAGCCCGAGGGTGGGTGGGGTGAGCTGCGGAGGCGCCCGCGGGAGCCAGAGAGGGGTCGCCGCGTCCCCTGCCCAGAGGTGCTGCGGAATCTTCCGGGCGCACCAGTCCCCAGCTCGGCGTATCTGTGCGTCAGCGCCTAGTCCTGGGCGCCCAGCTGCGCCACGAGGCTCAGCAGCATCATGGGCACCGCCATAGGTTTGGCCGCCCGGGTCCCAGCCAGCAGCGGCCGGCCCAGACCCGACGGGGTCCTCGGGCTCCCAGCGACGATCTGCTCCACCATCTCCTTCGCTTCCCTCTGAGGGCACCACGGGGACAGGGACGGGGTTGTGGACGGGGATGAGGGGAGGTCGGGCAGGGGCCACGTCCGCTGTGTCATTCCAGGATCCCGCGGGGGGCGCAGGACCTCTGTCCCGAGGTGCGAGTGCCCTGTCCCTCACGCACCCCAAGGAGACTTCCGTCCCGGGGCTTCTCTGGGGTCTCCTGCTATGGGGTGTGGGCTGCGGAAGGGCTGAGAGGTGCGAGACCTGCTCAGAGCGGGGAGACACCTGGAGGCCCGAGATGAGAAGGCACCGTGGTGCCAGAGAATCATTCATGGGCAGAAGCTCAGCATTCTGCAGAATTTATGATGGGAAAGAGGAAGGACCTGCACTTCCGGTGAGGTTGGCCCATGCTAGGGGCTGGGGCAAGCAACAGGGAAGGGCAGAGAGCTGGAATCCTAGCTTCCAAGTGTGGAGTAGCTGAGCTCAGGCTCCACGTTTGGCAGTGACACAGCCATGAGCTGAGGCTCAGCGATCAGTTCTTGGAGCACAGGTGGCGCCCTGGCTCAGCTCTGACACTCAGGCTAGGGCCAGCTCTGTAGCCGCCTCTGGAGGGGAAAAGCAAGCTGCTGGCAGGTGGACCAGGGACTGTGGTGGACAAAGCAGAAGCAGGGGCACCAGGGGGCAGGCAGAGGCAGGGCAGGGCAGGGCAAGACACAGAGGTGCTAGAGAGTGACCTGAATGCCCCAGAACCTGAGCACGGATAGAGAGGGGGGCTTGTGTGCTAATGCTGTGCGTGTGAGTTTGACCCCGCAGCTTCTTTTAGTTGGAAGTGTAACCTGCACCCGCTAGAGTGTAGAAATCCTAGGAGTGCAGCTGGGTGAAGGTTTCTTGTAGGTTGCACTTATGGTGACATTTTGGGTCCCTGTCGGTTCCTTCTATTAGGGCAGGCACCTTGTCATTTGCTTTTGCAGCTCTGTGAGCTTCACAGGTGTTCAATAAATGCTTGCTGAATAAAGATCAGAAAAGGGATGAGGGCAAGCAGATATGGTGGCGACTCCTGGAATCCCAGCACTTGGGAGGACTGCTGTGGGGGCCAGCCTAGGTTACGTAATGAGTTCAAGGCCAGCCTGGACTACACAGTGAGATCCTGTCTCAGCCTCCCCCATATCAAAAAAAAAGGGGTGGTGGGGATGAGGGTGAGGAAGCAGAGGGATTTTTCTGACCTATCTTGCCTGGAGCCATGTTAACATTTGGCCAGCTTCAGGAAGAAATGCATTTTTCTCACGATGGCATGAGACAAATGCCTGACTGCTGGAGAAGCTTGGAAGGGTGGCCTAAGACTGCTCTGGATCCCCGGGAATGGGTCAGCTCGCTGCGGGGAGGAAGCTACAATGTGGTGAGCATCAGGGTAGAAGTCATTCCTCTTTAGGCGCCAGTAGCCCCTCCCAGACGGGCCCCCCACTAGAGATGGGCTGGGCGAGGGCTTGATGCCTTGGGGAAACGCGGGCTGGTGGGATGAGGGCCTTGTGTGTCATAAGTGGGGATTTTGGAAAACGATTGGACGCTGGGCGTTCAGAGCTGAGTTGCTGTCAGGAGGTGGGGTCCGGTCAGCAGTGATGGTCACTGGGCAATGGCCTGGAAGGGTCAGTCTCCTTCCCTCCCTCATCTGCTTCCTGTGTGCCAAGCCCTGAGAAGCTCTCCTCTATGGACTCAAAAGGGAGCCAAAGCGAAGCTGTCCTTCAAATGTGGGCGTGGGTACTGTGTCTCAGCCATGAGAAAGTGGCAGACGGGCCATAGGGTAGCAAGCCAGGGGCTGCAGTCTGCAGCCATTTTGCTTGTCTGAATGTTCCTGTGGAGGCAGGGCCAGAAAGCCAGGCCCCACTCCATCAGATGCCTTCTTTGTTCTGCAGAGGCTGCACTGGGGAAGCGACCAGACTCAGCAAGGCAGGAGGAGCACAGGGACAAGGGCAGGGATGTTCTGAACACCCATATGGAGGCCACGGGACCCCAGGAGCGGAGGCCAGGCTGCCCAAACAGTGCTCAGCTGTGCCGTAAGAGGATGCGGGTCTAAGTGTCAGAGGAAAACACACCATGAAGCCTGCAAGGCAAACAGAAGGTTCTTTCCCAGCGGCTTATAGGCAGCCATGGCCAGGCCAGGGTGGGGGTGTAAGGGGGCAGCTGCTCTTTCACAGGAGTCAAGCACCCCGCCACCTGCCCAGAGTTGCTTTGGGAGTGGGGGGGGGGACAGTGATGAGCATGGGACCCTAGAGGAAAGATAACATGGGCCCTGCTTGGGTCCCTGCCAGAGGGCAGAGAGAGCGGGTGGGAGGCACCCTCTCCCACGGGGAGGCTTGGGCTTCCTATTCAGGAGCATAGTCTGTACTTGTCCTCCACAGCTGGGCAGCTGAGCTCTGCTTGCATCTTGAAGGGCCAGGAGACTCGTGGTAGGGAAGATGCTCCCTTTTCCCTGGACGTGGAGAGGGCCAGCCACTGGCTGCCAAGAGAACTGACATCCTCCCCTCACCCTCCCCATCAGCCTTTCCTGCTCCCAAAGCGGGGAGCTGAAAATCTGGCCTTATCTTGTTTCCTTCTAGGATTCAGAGCCGGGGGAGCCCTGATAGAGATGGGGCAAGGCACCTGGCTGGATGCAAGGGGCCCAAGGAATAGCTCAGAGTTCCCAGCCACCCCTCCCCCAATCAGGGTGCCTCCTTGCAAGCCCTGACAGTCAATGCCAGCAGGACCCAGACAGCACTGGGATCTCACAAGGAAGTGGTTCTCCAAGTGCAGAACTCCACGGTGCGGAGAAAGGACAAGGGGAAGAAAGGATAAACCAAGCTTTGACAAAGTAAGTCAAGGAAACCAAGGCCATTTAACATATATTTATTGAAATCTACTTGATGCAAGGCACTGTGCTAAATTTGGTAGGGAAAGCAGACATGAGGGCCACCCCTGTCTTCTAAGAGCTCACAATCTAACGGGTGGGGGAGGGTTGAGTGGGAGAGAGGAGAGGCCAAGTTCACAAACAGCTTTAGTGCAAGGCTGATTAAAGTGAGTGCCAGAAAACAGACTAAGTCATGAGATCCGGGAGGAACAACAAAAGAGGGTCCACGAGTAGGGGCAGGACACAGCTACTGTTCTCAGAGATGTGCAGGTAACGTGGAGGGCCAAGTGTAAAGAGACCTTCTTCTAGTTTTGAAAGTAAACCCCAAACCGATGCAATGAGAACTACACAATGTAAGTACGCTATTAAGCGAGGCGGTATCAATTCTCCAATCGATGGGTTTGCTGGAAACTGAAACACTTCCAGAAGAGAGAATGGGGTGCGCCGTGCCGAACTCATCACGTGGTTAAAGGAAAGGAGCTGGCTCAGGAAAGGAGCAACTTGCAGACAGAAAATCACTGGTGAAACTCACCGACACAGAAGGCATAGATTTTCACCCATCGCAGTGAACACAGTATGGTATCACATTAAACAGGTGTCACGACAGTCAGGTGGGGCCTGGGCTGGGGCTGCTAGCTTGGGAGAATTTGAGGAAAGCCAGCAGCGTGCTTCTTCTCACAGAGCAGCCAAATAGCCAATGTAATTGGCTCCGAGACAAACTGCAAAAGCAGAGACTTAAGCTGGCTCAAGTCAAGGGGCAGGTCCTTGCTGGGCACACACGTGGACTGCCACAGGCAGTTGCCGGCAGTCTAAGAGCACAACGCAGTCGGGCCCCCCTTGGGGTGCTGGGAGGCCTGGCACAAGCCCACAGATCTTCACCAACTGTTCTACATCCTGTGAGTGCGGCCCCCTGTCAACCAACTGCAAATGCCCGTTTCCTCGCTTGCTTTCCTCTGACTTGAAAGATGAGGGGCATCATCTCCAGCCAGCTCTGGAGACTTCGGCTGCCCTTGGGTTGGGTGTTCCATCCTGTTTTAATTAATGCAGCCCAGAAGGGGAGTGGTGAGCCATAGGGTCACAGCAGACACTGCACCTAGTCACTGTGGCCACAAAACTAAGTACATTAAATGCAAATACCATGGGAGAAAGATATGGCCAGGTAGGGTTATTCCACGAGGGTTACACAGGAAACAGTAAAAATGGTAAAGAATTCCTTTCTTTTGAAAATTTCAGCAAGTATCCAAAAGGTTAATAAAAGCAATGGAATATTTTTCTCTTACTATGATAAGAAGGAATATACTTCTATCACCAGCCAGAATCCCACGTAACCCAGCTTCTCTCCACTTCCCTTGCAATAGGAATACGTGTGGTTAGAAAAGAAGTGAGGTAGATATACGAACGCATAGACAAACAACAGGACAGCTGCTTGTGCCTGCCCCGACAGAGCAATGTCCCCGGAGAATCCAAGGAAATTCACCTCCTTGGTGCATGAGGTGGCAGATGAAGCAGTGAAACCGTGAGCCACCGGGTGAAGCCACATGCCCATTGTGTTGGGAGAAAGTGGATTTCACCGTCCATGCCACGGAAAGCCGCTATGTCAACGGTAAAGGAGAAGACACAATCCTTAATGTTACCTTTAAACAAGAACTTGTTCAAGAGAAAATTACAGAATCAAAACTAGAACAAAGTACCAGGTAGAAAAAAGTACCAAGGAGGGCAAGAAGGGAAGTCAAGGTGCCATGTCCTGGGGGGAGCAGTGACCTCTATGCTACAGGCTGAGTTAATGTCAACCTAGACTTCAGTGGAATCCTGCAGATCCAGCTGGACAAATGCTCAATTGAATGGTCAAAGAAACGGTAAAGGTACCCAGAATTGGGCCTAGTGCATGTCAACATTCCTTATTTAATGACAGCTGTACAAATCACGCCCTGATAGCTTGAAAAGAGAAAACTGATTTAGAAGGCAGTGAGTTCAGATTCACAACCACTGGAAGAATGGCATCCAGAGCAAAGGGAATTGCTATGTAAGAGGTGCTGTTGGATTCTCTCCAGCCTGGAGGTCGGGATGGAGATGTCCCATAGGGTCATAGTTGTGGCCTGGGGCCACTGGGGAGGTCCTTCTAGCCAAGGTCACAGGGATCACTGTCAGACCTTGTTTCCCAAGAAGGGGCCCTAGGAGGCCCTTTCTGGCTGTGCCTGCACTTCTACTGAAGGCCTTGGCCTCCAGTGCCCCCAGGGCACAGCTGCTTGGAGGTGATGCCACAGGCCTGGCATGGCCAGCTTCCTGGCCAGCCCTCGCTGCTGTTCTTCCCGGAGGAGGCTGCCACCAATGACGCCTGGCCCAGGATGGACAGCTCCTATTTCCATTCCTCAGAGCCACCAGAAGCGCCTGATGCTCTCCTTTCCCTTGCTTTACTGCCCCTCTCGGGCATGGCCACTGCATCCTGCAGTCTGCCCTTGCGTAGCCAGCTCTGTCCCATGACACACAGGCCATGAGAGAGACATAGTTCCTCTCCAAAGCTTTGTTCTGTCACTCATCTTAGGCGTGGCTTTGGAAGCTGACAGCAGCACAAGTGGGCAAATAGCTCCTTAGCTGCCCAAAGAGGCCACCAAATTGACCTTTCTCATTGCAGTCACTTGCTGGGAGGAAGATCAGTCAGGCGAGTCTTCCTGTGTCTGAGGAGATGCTGCTGGGTGGATTTGCTGCTCCACTGAGTCCACTGCCAAGGCTCCCAGGAGCTCGGGGGTGGGCTGACTGCTGCCAGACCCGGCGTGTACCATCCTGTTGGTCCAGGTGAGGCCAACCCCCGCTGCTGGTGGCCGGGGCCGTCCCCACGAGCAGTCAGAGTGCTCTGCGGAATCCGTGAGAGACTTATCTCTAGTGTGCCTCAGTGACTGGGTTGGATAGTCAAGTGCTGCCCACAGATATATGCAGAGTCTGCATCTAATTGCAGAATGGGCCTGCTCCTCGGGCCCATTCCTACCTGACCCACCCACCTGGTGCAATCACCTTCCGGTGGGCAGGATTTCAACTTTTTGTTTGTAATTAAGATTCTAGAAGAAAATATCATCATATCTAAGTACCGAAGCAATGAAAGTTACAACCTACAAAACAAATGCCGGGATATGTAAAAATCACAAGCTTGCACAACAAAACTGTAATAAAAAGTGCTATAAAGAGTAAAGCAATAGAACTGGAAAAGAGAACATCACAACTGATATAGAAAAATTGATATATAAAGTCAATATATCCAAAGGTAATTTGATAACCAGTCAAAGGAGATGAACATACAATCGCATGCAAGAAAACAGAAGTAGCATTTAAGTTGTTCATAAAGAAAAGGCGACACTAGTAGTCAGGAGGCCTGGGGTCCATCCTCGAAGGTGGCATTAACGAGCTGCAGAACGACAGCACAAACTATGAGTACGACAGCAGATGACCTTGACTGGGTGTGTACCTTCACCCGGGGCAGGCGCTGCCCTTACCCTTCTGACACCCTGGGGAGGTAGGTACTGGGATTGTCCCCTTTAGCAGAGCTGTAAGCCAGAGGCTTGGAGAAGTACCATGGAGGCCCGATACCAGAAGAGGCTCTTGGTCCTATCAAGAAGGTGCCACCTTACCCTTGCGTCTGGAGACATCCTCCTATCTGGGGCCCCTTTCTCACCCACTTCATTTGGAACACAGTGGTGCTGGGTGAGGATGAGACCCATCAGGCTGAACACCACCAAGTAATGTTTCTTTTTGGCAGGTCCAGGAGTCACCAGATTGAATTGGATTAAGGAAAAAGAGGCAAAAAACATTTAACCTAGATTAAGTTTTACAGGAGTATGATCTCAGAACGATGGATTAAATGCTAATAAAAAACAAAAACCAAAACAACCACCACAACAAAAAGAAACCCAGCCTTTTGAAAGGTCATTTGAAAAAGCACCACCCTAAGTGGTTATGTTGCAGAGCTTTGGGCCTAGTTAAACACACCGAAAACAGTTCTAATGTTATACGAATGTGTTCTTATGGCTTGGGATGAAATTTTTGGCTGGAGCCTTATGTGAGGATTGTCACAGTGTTGCCACGCAAAGCTCGGATAGAAGTGACCAGTTGTGCCAAGACTGGGGACCGAAAGGGTTCTTGTGTTGGGGAAGCGATAGGGATCACCATGTATAAGTTGTTAGAATAAAACCATTCAGGGGACAGGGCGTGGCAAGAAAAGGAGTATTTTCTATATTAATATATTAAAATATCATATGTGATGTATAATATGTGATGTACAATATGTATGTATAACTAAGTTAATAAATTAAATGTTATAAGACATGAGTATTCTATTTACATCCCTAAAAATTTATAAATTCAAGTAGGCCAAAAACTTTTAGGGCACTCTTGTTTCTTGGGGAGCGGTGGGATTGCATTGTACCCACGCCATCCTCTGTTTCCCGTGGAACAGAGCCTTGGCGTAGACGGCCTCCCAGCATCCCCAGCCGCCTGTCTCTTGTCACTCAAGGCGTGAGGACTGAATTACCTTGCAGGCACCCGGTGCCAGGTAAACTTGCAGAACTAGGTTAACATGGGAAGAGCTACTCCGGATGAGCGTAATGGGAAACACGGACACTTAGAAAGTGCTGGTGGCGGTAGGAATCGGTTCAACCTTTCAGACGATAAAATAGATAAGCGCTACAAAATTGTTCATCTCCTTTGACTCTGCCATCAGCCGCTGGGGACTGTCCCCTACTCCTGGTGGCTGGGCTGATGCTTCTGCAGCGCCGAGCGCCTCTTGAACACGCGGCCACACTCGCCACACTCACAGCGCCTGGCCCCGCTGTGGATGCGCCGGTGGCGGCTCAGGCCAGAGCTCCTGCGGAAGGCTTTGCCGCACTTGTCACACTCATAGGGCTTGAGACCGCTGTGGATGCGCCGGTGCTTGATGAGATCGGAGGGGCCACGGAAGGCCTTGCCACACTCGTCGCACACGTAGGGCCGCTCGCCGCTGTGGATGCGCGCGTGCTCCAGCAGGCTGGAGCTCTGGCGGAAGGCCTTGCCACACTCGCCGCACTCGTAGGGCTTCTCACCGGTGTGGATGCGCCTGTGCTTGGTGAGCTCCGAGCTCCTCCGGAAGAGCTTGCCGCAGTGCAGACAGCCGTAGGGCTTGGCGCCGCTGTGGATGCGCTGGTGCTCCGCCAGCCCGTTGACGGCACGGAAGGACTTGCCACAGTCGTCGCAGTCGAAGGGCAGGTGGCCCGTGTGCACGCGCTGGTGCTTGAGCAGCTCTTGGCGATCCAGGAAATCCCTGCTGCACGCGTTGCATGCCAAGGGCTTCTCAGCCACATGCAGCTTCTGGTGCCGGAAGAGGTGGTTGTGCGCCGCGAAGGAGCGCCCGCACTCCTCACAGTCGAAGGGCTTCTCCCGGCTGTGCACCCGCAGGTGCTGGCTCAGGCCTGCGTTCTTCTTAAACCTCTTCCCGCACTCCTCGCACTCGAAGGGCATGGCCGCCTCCTCCTCCAGCTGCTCCCTCTTCCTGGCTGCAGTGCCCTCCAGGGCATGACTGGGGCCGGGCCGGGGCTCAGCGGCAGCCTTGGCAGCCTCGGCAGCCACCGCAGCCACGGCAGCCACGTGGCTCTTCCTGTGCTCGTTGAACTCAGCCGCCCCCCTGAAGACCTTCCTGCAGTCGCCACACTCCCACCCCTTCTGCTTGCTGTGAACTCTCTGGTGCTGCACGAGCAGCACTTTCAGCCGGAAGGCATCACCGCACTCTTTACAGGCAAAGTGGTGTTGTATGGGTGGATCCTGCGGGCTCCCTCCCCTCCCCGCAGCGCTGGGGTCACTGGCCCTGGGCGTGCTCACGGATGCCATCTCTTGTGGCTGGGTTTCTTCACCCATTGCCTGGTGGCAGGTTACAGAGGTGCTCTCTGAAAGGACAAACGAGAGAGCACAGGCAGGAGATGACTCCTGTCCCTAAAGCTTGTCCCTGTGCTGCAGCTGCAGAGCAAGCCAGAGGAAAGAGTGGGGGGGGGCTGGTTGCTGGACTCTGTCTACCGAAGGTGTCCCAAGGAAGAAGGGGTCCCATGGAAGCACACTCAAAACCCTGGGTCCCACAGGCTCAGCTGTGACTCCCAATTGTAACCTCAATCCCAAGAGCTTGGCTGAGCCTTTCTGAACTATACCCTGCATCTCACAGCAGCTCAGCTAGGTCCTTCCCAATCTGGGAATGATTCTTGGGGTTTCTTTCCCACTCACCAGGGGGCTTAGCTTGATCTGCGCTGAGGGATGGGTCTGACACCAGCAGCACTTGTCCTTGTGCCAGGTGGGAGACCAAGGTAGGATCCAAAACGGGCACTCCTGCTTGCGGGAAAAGAGATGGGTCACAGAGGTGGCACAGAGGACAGCAAGATGCAGGAACAGGGAGAGGCTTTCAAAGGGGAACCATTTCCAGTTCTCAAAGACTGGCTGGCTGGGACCTCAGGCAGATGATTTCTGTAAGGCCAGTACAGTTCCCAAGGGCTAGCTACTTCTGAAGACAGGAGGAGGCTAGGCTCTGGGACATCTTAGAGGGGTGCTCCAGGGCCACGTCAGGTGGCCACTCTGAAGAGCTGACCCTTGCCCCCCTTCCTACCCCATAGTGCCCACATGCTGGGCCTCATGCTCTTCCCAAGCCTAGGGACTTCCACAGCTCCCCAACATTCTCTCCTAACCCTGACCCCCTACACAGACCCCATGGGTGGACAAGAGAGTTACTGTGTTCACCTTTCTCAACAGCAAATGCCAATCGAATGGCCTTGCAATTTGCACCATGTGTGGGTTAAAAGTATTCTCAGTTATACTGGCAGGTTTGTTCCCCTTTCTTTCCAATAGAAGACTGGTGTGAGTTCTCTCTATGAATGAAGAGTTAGAGGAGCTCTTGCCAATCGGAGATGTCAAGCGTGACAGTACTTCTATATTTCCCTATCACTTAGGCACAAGATGAGCCCCTCTGCCAGCTCTAGTCCCAGCAGGTGGCGAGACTGGGGAAGGGCTGGGGGCATCCTTACCCACAGAGGTCACGTTCCCGTAGTAAGCCAGTGTCCTCTGTTCAGGGACCAGTTTCAACCACTTCCTTGCTGTGAGGTCCTGCACTGAATCATCAGGCGGCACCAAGTCCTGAAAAGAATTCCCAGGGATAATGTGGCTTTCCATCTGGTGTACAACGAGGCAGCGGTGGCACAAGTTACACCAAGGGCAACAGGTGAGGGCCTAGAGCATGTGTGTTGCTGATGTGGAGCTCCAACCACATCCCCAAGAAGTCCTGGAGAGAGAACATGACCAAGCACCAGGAGACCTGACCAGCTACCCTGGTGTCCTGCTGTCTGTCCGAAGGACCTCACATCAATAACACAGCCAGAGGGCAATGCGGCTCTCTCACCTGTACTGCAATGGGCACTGCAAGCCCAGTGACATCCATTCCTTGGCAGCCTCTGGGAGAGAAGCAGAAGGCAGGAAGGAAGGTAGCAGCCAGGGTTCACACCCTGCCACGTGTCATGCTGGGCAAGAGACAGGAGCCGAGGCCAGGATCAGGGAGCAATGACAGAGTCCCAAGCAAGGCAGGGAAGCACAGCTCACCTGGGCCTCCGGCATCTCAAGAGGGACTGCCAGGACCTGGTTTCCCGGGGCTCCATCCTGGGGAAGGGCAAGACCTTGGGGAGCAGGTGGAGCTAAGGAAAGTGAAAAAAGCCATGAGTGACAACAGCACAGTTTCTGGGTCCCTTGGGATGGGACTGGCATTTTCTTACTCCCTGGTTTTAAATCTCGAGTCTTTTTGCTTGCTCAATGGCAGGCCTAGAAAACATTCCTCCAGTAGTGGGAAGAATTAACCCAGGCAGGCCAGAGGGGCCAGGGGTGGGACAAATGCACTCGAGTCCAGGCAGAGCCAAAGGCAGCCGTGCCAGAGAGCCAAGGACAGGGAGAGGACACTCAGAACCAAGCCGACCACAGGACAGAAGTGTGCCCAAATCTGGGAAGCAACAGCTGAGCCATGTAGGGTCCTTTCTGGCTTCTTAGCAAGCCACTGGAGCAAAGAGGCAAAAAAGCAGGCACCTTGGTGTGGTCCTGACCAGCTGGGCACCCTTAAATAAGCCACTGCCCACTGAAGTGACTGACCAGATGAAAAAGGCAATCTGCAGGTGAGAACCTTGCTTTTACATTTTCAACACAAGAGAAAGCTGCCCAGGACAACTACAAAAACAAGCCTCAAAGAAAAGATCTTCAAACACTAAGTTGCTAAATCAAAGATCAAAAGAACAACAAAAAGTTACCTTTTCTTCCAAATTAAGAAATGAGTGAAACAGTCTCAGACCCTATGCAGGTGTCTGTGCATGATGGGCTCCCTACTTCAGTGAGTTCAAAGCAGCAGCCACCCAATTCATGTTCTGACATCAACGCCATTCGAGCCAGCATTAAATGAAAAGGAAGCATTCTGATACCAGCTCAAGGATACAAATGCCAGATGCTTTCCCATGGTGTCTACACAGAATCCAAGCTGCTACTTCAAGAGTTGAGCAGACACTTTCAAGTTACACACTGAGCAGGGGCCCGTGGTTTCTGGGAGAAACAACCAAGGTGAGCCCATACGGCCTCGGCTCTTGGCCCGGAAATGATGTCCAGACTGACAGTGTAAGGGGGGCAAAATGGAACAGAGTTCAGCGGCTTCACCAAGGTGAGGAGACACAGACCAGCATTCCAGACGTCTGTGGATCCAGCACAGCATGTGTCACGCAGGAAAAGAGCCACAGGTAATCTGCAGGAGGCTTCCCTTGATTTTCCTGTGTGATGTGGAAATTCCAAGGGCCGGAAAATGAAGGAGCCAGAAGCTATAAGCTGGACAATTCCCAGGGTACACAAAGGTAGGGAGATGTTCCAGGTCTGCCCAACCAGCCTAGGGCCAATGATGACCTGGCACACTCGGCAGAGAACACAGAGAGGCTGGGTCTCACTGGAAGGAGGTTCTGTTCTTACAGCCAACGTGACAAAGACCTGCCTTACAAAGGCTTCAAAAGCAGCCCTTAAAGGAATGGTGTGGCATCACTTCCCAAAGTCCAGATGCTCAAGGACATAGTCCTGACTGTCCAACACTCACTCTCAAATTACTGAAACGCTAAGAAGTGCAAAACCTGTGGCCTATGGCAGAGAGCGAAACAGAAACTTCTGTACCAGCTGACGACAGAACACAAAGAGGGAAAAACCCTCTATCTTAACTATGTACAAGTACTGAAAGGCAGGAGTACGGTTAGAAGTAGACGTACAGAAAGACTCAAATGGAAGTTTCGAAGGTGAAAAGTATGTTTAAAATACAAATTTCACTGTGTGTGATCAGACATGAAACAAAAGATTAGATAACCTGGAGCCACAGTGCTAGGAACAACCTCCAATGAATTTCATAAAGGCACATCATTGTAACTAAGCTTCTGAAAACCAGTGATAAAAAGTAGCCAGAGGAAAGAGATGATGCTGCACACAGAGTAACAAAAAGTAGATGAGCCAGTGACTTCCCACGGGAAAATATTTGAAGCCAGAAAGCAACACAATGGCACATCTAAGTGCAGCAAGAAAAAAAGCCTTGTCAGTCTAAAAATCTATGTTCAGGGCGAACAGGCTCCCAATGAAAGCAAACAAATAATTTCTGATAAAAGCCAGGAGAATTTGTTACCAAGAGTTCTGTACCTTAAGAAATATGCAAGAGCTAGGTGCGGTGGTACATGCCTCTAATTCTCAGAAGTCTGAGTCCAGCCTGGGCAACTCTGCGAGACCCTATTGCAGAAAACCAATCAATCATCCAACCAACAAACAAAGCAAAGAAAATTTAAAAAAGAGAAACATTGAAGGGAGCTTTTCAGGTGGAAGGGAAATGAAACCAGATGAAACTTTGGGAATATGAATATGCAGGGAAACAATAAACACTTTTTACTCTCTTCAGTTTTAAATCTTTAAAAAATAGTTGACATTTCAAGCAAAAATAGTTACAGAGTAATGTGAGGTTTGTAAGATGCAGAAGTGAAACATATGACTGTGTGTTTCAGCAAACCTTTCAATACTGCGGTGCATGCTAGTAAGCCAATAGTGGAGATAAAATACAACACTAAAAATATCCAAAAGAAGCAAAGTAGAGGAAAAGGCAACAGATGGGACAAATAGAAATAAATAGTGGGATGGCAAACTTAAACTCAACCACATGGATAATTAAGTTAAATATAAATGAACTAAACACTCTAATCAAAAGGCAGATGTTAAATTAAAAGAATGAGACTTAACTATGAATTCTCTATAAGAAACTTTAAACATAAAGACATGGACAGGATAAAAGGATGGAACATCATATCCCATAACCAACAGAAAGAGTTAAAAGAAGTCCCAGGGTCGTAAAAAAGGCATGCAGGGGCGAAAGAAGTAACAAATGTGACCCAGAGTTCTGAAGATGCTACTCTAGAGCCCTAGAACTCAGGGCAAGGAGGAAACTGGAGGATTTGATTGTAAATTCAACAGGTGACCAATATAGAACAATGCACACGTTATGAAAAATGAATTCTTTGTGGAAGCTATAGGCAGCCATAACAATTCTTCATTGAAAACTCAAAGAGGGTAAAGGAAGGGGAGAAGCCCACTAGGTGTGGATTTGCAGTGTCAGAGAGGAAACTCTTGGTGACTGAGCCGTAGCTGGAATAAGCACACTGGATTTCATCAAGTGCACAGCCCTGCAGGCGGAGTCAGGGTCTGGAAGGGCGAATTTGAGGCCAGTTACAAAGCAGGGTTGCCAGGATGCCTGGAGACATATCCCAGGGGCCAATTTCTGAGTTTGTCAACAGGTGCTCAGCATGCAAACCCTCCCTCTAGGTATCCCAATGTCACGAGGACAGAGCTCTAGCCCGAGGGAGGCCATTCATTCTCTAGTCTGCATTTCCCTTCCCATATAAAATAAACCGGTCATGAATTACATCATTTATGTAAAACTTAGTTTCCAACTGAAATTGATGTTTGGCTGCCAATGCAACAGAAAGGAGGGTGCGCGTCCCCTCTGTACTTTGTGGGAAAGAGGACTCTATGCAGACCTCTTCCCTGCCCTCGGGTCATCCACCTAATCCCTCCCCTCCCTTCCAAGGCCCTGGCACAGCTTGTCAATCACAGCCCCTGTCCTACCCGCTCTGTCACCCCGTCCTGACACACTGGCCTTCACGCAGTTCTGGATATGCCAAGGCTGTGGCCTTCAGCGACTGTGCACCTGCCAACAATCCTGGTCCCACAGTTGATCTGAGGAGGCGCCTTGTAATAATTCAGGGCTCAAATGAATGTCTCCCCTGAACCTCTTCACCTTGTAGCCCTATCCTACCTACCCAGAACACTTTTACTAGCTAAAACTTCTTCTACGAAGTTGTTTCCTTCTCCTAGGGAAAATATCAGCTCCAATAGGACAGGGCCTTGGCTTTCTTGGACGCCCGAGTCCTTGGCTGCTCTCAGGACAAGCTGGCATATATGCATAATATGTCGCAGCATGGCTGAACCCAAGTGTGTAAGTGGAGTGGACTTCTATTTGCACAGCACTTGGAATGCATGCGTAGGGCTGTGTGACTCTTTTCACGTAATTTACTCATCACAACCTTCGGTTATTACTACCTCTGTTTTATGGAGCAGGAAGCCATGAACCATAAAGTTCAGTGGCTTGCTTAAGGTACAGCTCCTAAGACTTGAGACTTTTCAAACACCAAAGTGGAAAAACGTGATATGCTGTCCTGTAATGCCAAGCCACCCCAGAATGCAGGCTGGTGGCGCGAATCCTGGAAACCTCATGGTATGTATGGGGTTGGGGGCAGCCTTTAAACCCCCCGTTAATATTCCACTGGAAACCCTCACCTCACAAGACACAGCCAACATTATCTTTCTCTCTCCCCTCTCCCTATTTCTTTTCTTTCTCTCTTGCTCTGGAAACATATCACAGCTCGCACACACAGAATCCTTCCAAGCCATCTACTTCTAATTGATCAAATCCGCCTGAAGGGTTCCATTTAATTGAGCAAATCTTACCAAAGTGTTTTCACTTAACTGGCATGATTAACTGTTGCAATCCCGGAGCCACAACCCCCAAATGAATTGTTAATTGTCTTTTCCGTTAAGTGACATGAGTGGCCCTTCCTGGACCAGCTCTCTCAAGGGGTTTGGCCTGAAAGCCTTCAGCTCTTGATGGCCATGTGACCATCAGCCACAGTACCAGAGCTCGCAGGTACACAGAGCTGATTTAGAAGGTACTCCCATGAACAGGAGGAGAAAAGCAGGCCATACTTCCAGAAAAGGAAGCTCACCCCCACATAATTAACTGCGGGTACCATGTAAAAGAGCTGCATGAGAAGTGAAGCAAGATAATTAAGAAAAAAGATAATACACATTAACCCCCACTGCAGTTAAAAATAAAATTATCATCAATCCAGAAGATGATCGGATCGCTTAGAATCCACATTGCACAACTGTTCTGCTTTAAAATGGTGGAACTAATCTGGAAACGAAGCTGGATGTTATAACAAAAGTGACAATCGAAGGTGTCTGCTGCTTTCTGAAATGGATTGGGGGTCAAGGTCAAAGCAATTCCAGAGAACATGAAATTCACTGTAGTGCACCAAATGGGCACAGAGCGTACTGCTAACCTTGGACACTGGGCACTTTCCCTCGCACCAGAAGAGCACAACCTGAACTTGTAAAGTGTGCTTCTAATTACACTTGGGAAATGGAAGCCAAGCGAAACACTGTGGGAAAACAAGCCTCCAAGTCCTTCTTTGACTGGGACCTAAAGACAGTCTGAAAGCTGTCAACTTCCAGGGAGCACAGGTCCAGCCAAGGTCAACTGTGGATTCCATACTGGACCTGGCCAGTGCTGTGAGTGCTGCAGCTGTTTAAAAGTATTTGCTGTGCGACTACATGCAGCACAATGGTGCCCGTGTTCACCTGCTGCCAGACGGTCTGGGAGCGTGTGCTTTCTAAACTTGAGGGCTTGAGCAAGTGAACAAACCTTCCTGCTATGTGCTATAGATCCCGAGGCTAAGCAACTTCACTTATTGTACCGCGTCAGAAACACTAAAGACCCAGAAAATAACCACTTTACTTTGATGTGAAAGAATAGAAATGGAGAGTTGAATTCAACAGTGACAAAAAAAACCAACCCATGTTGGAAAAAGGGGAATAATTCAATGGCTTCTGGCCGCCTTTGAGCTTAGGATATTTTAAGGAGGTGGCTTCCACTAAAAGTAGTTTCTGAGCCTAAAGGATCAGTCCTCAGTGGAATAGCCAAGCAACCTCCTTGGGGAGGTTCCAGCCTTCCCTGGGCAGTGGGGGAGGGGAACAGCAGCAGGGCCACCTAAAGGAGACTTGCCTGGGGGCGCTAAAAGTTTCCAAGATGTGCCACAAACACCTGGAGTTGCTTGAGCTCCTAAATAAGGACCTGTACTAGAATGTTTGCAGGCCATGAAGCATGAGTCCAGCCAGAAAATAACAGGCGGCCTGCAGTGTGTGGTTCAGTTCTGGCCCCGAAAATATGCCTGAAGAGTGAGAATACTCACCAGAGATCTAGTTCCCCAACCCAGTGTCGATCATCTGGATTCCTAATTCTCCTTACTGGGTAACTTCGCTCCTCTGAGTCGAATCTCTATGACTGTGAGAACTGTCTCTATGCAGAGATGCTTGAGCAGCACTTGCTTATATGGAAATATGAGTTTCCAGAACCAAAGCGACACTCTTCTAACTGCTGGTCTCACTTTAAAAGGCCAGCAGACGTGGTGTGAAAACACCTAGACTTACCCAAAAGAGACACACAGGGATAACTCATCACGTCTCAGAACACTTCCAAGGGAGAGGTCCAGCAGGTAAGATCCCACCTGTTGGGTTGAAATAATACAGGTGAACAGAATCACTCTGTTGATTCTGAGCACTTGCTCTACAGCAGGACAGGTTCCTAGACACCTTCTAGGAACCTGTCCTGCTGTAGAGCAAGTGCTCAGTGGCAGGGCAGGCTGTGTCCACTGTCCCAATGTACCCCAACCAGCCCAAGATGTGAGCACTTCACTGTGCCCTGGACCACAGCCCATTGTGGCCTTGACCTTCTCTCAACCTGGCAGGCCTGGTTTGTGCCCATCCTATACTGTGCAAGCTGGCAGCTACACTCAAGTTGCAGAACCTTAACAGGCCAAAAGAGAGGGTGTCTCACCAGGAAAGTCTGTTTCTCTTGGGATATTTGTGTCTGTGTGTGCCTTTTTCTGTATGTGTGGGTGGGAAGGCATCTGTTTCCTCTCTCACTTTGCCTGGGCACCTGTCTCTCTCTGTTTAGGTTTTCATCTTCTTTGCCTTCTATAAAAAGCCAGAAGGTAGACCAGAAGGAGATTTTGTAGTGTTTGTTGTACTTAACTGAGTTAAGGTTTATGTTCCCATTTCCCCAAGAAGACGCATGGCATCCTACTAAAAATCAAAATAAATTGTAAGTCTGGCCTCACTGAGACTATACTGCCTAGATTCTAAACTGGGTGTGGTGGGGGATGCCGTACAAATTCCAACAGGCCCTGGGTCATTCAAGAAGCCTAGCAGGTTTGGAAGGGTTTGGTCATTGGGTCAGGAACCTGGCTTTGGAGTTCAGGAAGAACTCAAATGGCAGAATGGCAGCAGGTCTAGCCTGGGCCAAGGAATCTGCATTTTCCAACAAGTCCTCCAGGACACTGCTGTGGACACTAGCATGTGTAGGCTCTGTCACCTCTAGCTAACATCACACATGGCTCTTGAGCAACAGCCTCTTCAGATGGGAGCCCACTGAACCGTGCTTTGGGTCACACTTGTGGGAAGAGGCCTCACACTTTCTAGTAGATCTTCTGAGGGGTCTCTTGCCAATAGAATGCTAGAAATCACAGTTCCACAGCCTTCTAAATATAGAGCTGGGAACAGTTTTGGGGAATGCACTGAACTGTGCCAGACACTGTGCTTGCTTGTACTGAATGGCCCAACGGGGAGGGCTGAGGCAGCCCTGGGCCCAGTCCCGGGAGGAAGTGCTGTTCCAGCAATCCCGTCTGAAATCTGCTTTCTGAGGAAAATGTCGGGGCTGAGGTTGAGGAGGAAATGTTTCACTGATCAAGGAGACTGGAGAGGGGCCACTGGCTTGGCTTGGCCAAGGCTGGCTGGAAGGTGTCTGAATGGGGTGGGACCTCTGGGAAGAGGGCCAGGAACGGGGGGGGGGGGGTGTGTGGGTGTGGGTGGGGGGGGTAGGGGGTGGGGGGGTGGGGGGGAGCTTCTGAAAGAGACTGTGGGCTTTGAGCAGCAGGGAGTGAGGGTGTGCATGGTGTGAAGACATGTGATTAATCACCCTAATAGAGACTGGAGGGACAGCAAAGGACTTCAAGGGGAGGGGCTGGGGGCGCAGTGGGAGACCGTGGACCCCAGCAGTGCAAGAGACAAAGCCCGAGAGGGCTTGGGCTCCCTTCACCAATCAGGGGCTGACCACTTACTTGGAACTCTAGACAAACTACTGATTCCCACCGTCTCCACCTAGCTGAAGCTGGACCCTCACCCAAATGGAAAGGAGGGACACTCCCAGCAGGCACTGTCATAGGCACCAGTGACTGGGGTGCAGTCCCTCCCCCATACTGGAGACAAGTCCTTTAAGCACCCCACGTGTCCCCTAGTCTCAGCCTCCATGGCACTTGGGGCTCTGAAGGGGTCGTTTCTCACCCCGACTGCTTCCCACAGCTTAGCGTCCTCCCTAGAACAGCGTAGGCCTTCCACAGATTCCGGATTCCCGCCCTTGACCGCCGCCCCCTGCCCCAAGAGAAGGCCTTCGGGCTTCGTCGTCCCCGCCATCAAGGACCCGTCCCTCTCTGCCCAGGGCCAGTTGCAAGGCCGAGACGCCCCCTCCCCCGCATGCTCTCCAGCGGCCCACACACTTGCCCCAGCCCCAGCCCGTCCTCCGCTGCCGGCCCGCACGCTCACTCCGGCCAGTACACCCTTCCACCTCCCTCGCGATCACTCGGACCGCTCGGGCTCGTACAGCCCGTCCCTCCCGCCACCCGCACTGTCCCCCGGCCGCACACTCTCTCGCGGTGGGCACGCTCACCCAGGCCCGGTGTTGGCTACAGCGTAGCCCTCGGCAGAGGCGAGGTGGCGCGGCCCAAGCAGGCCCGGCGTGGCAGGAAGCACCACGGATCCGCCGCCCGCAACCAGCAGAGCCCAGCAGCCCCGCGGCGCGTTTCCGGAGCTGTGGGCGCAGCTGGGAATATATGGGAAGAGAGGCCCCGCCCCGACCTCGGCCCCGCCCGGCCTGTCCGTCCCGATTGGTCCAAAAGGGGGGCGGGGTGGGAAGGGGGCGGGGATGGGGCGGAGCGAGGCGGGAGGTGGGGCTGCCAAAACCGCGAGGGAGCCCGGCAAAGTGGAATGAGTGTACCAATGAAGAATGAATGAGAACCAGCGAACAAATTGCCCTGCAGACCGAGGAGAGAATGAGAGATGGAAAGGCTGGCTCTCCCTTGGGCGCCTTCAGGGAGGTGGTGGGCTACGGTGTATTGGTAAAGGACGGAGGGCCACGCTCAGAGTTAGAACTCTTTACAGTTATGCCCTGAGCCCTCCCAGTGCCAGACAGATGCATGAAGCTGTACAGAGCGCACAGCTCTGAGCAAAACCTGATCTCATCCCCGTCCTGAGGGGGCACGCCTAAGCTTCTGCCAGTGTACACTATGCATGTGTGCATTTGGGGAGCACGACCAACAAATGAGTCCTACTTTAATTTCAAAACTGCAGGTCTTACTATAAAGAAAAAACGCAGGCTCCTTGGGGTCAGCGGTACTGCAAGCAGGTGAGGGCCACCTCCAGAAGGTACCCCAGTCACCAGAAACCTAAGACTATTACTATGGCCCTGCACCCTGGTAACCCTGGGGGACCCAAGTTACTACTTTACTTACCTGAAGATTCTGAGGATTTCTTCAGAAAGCCAGTAGTAAGCAAGACTCAATGCTGAGCACCTAAGAAGACTGGTGGAAACTTTGAGGAATGTTACTTGGGTAACATTGGAGGGTGGTGATTTGCCTTGTGGGGCGGGCTGCAGTGAGATCAGAGCACCCACTAGCGAAAGTACAAACGCTCACTGTCAGGAAGAACCTTGGCATATTCCAGGATCAAAAGGAAACTGCAGTTGGTGTGCTCTGAGCTGTGGGGAAGAGGGCTGGAGAAACTAGCCCAGTACTGAGCTGGACTGAGGGACCAGTTCAGCTTCTTTGCTTCATGTTTTATAAAAATGCGTTACTCCGTGCATCATTAGAAATAATGATTATAAGCTATTTCATAATTATTTTATAACAAATTTATTAATTAGATAACATTTCTCTCATTTTGCCTCTACATTTTATAATGAAAGGTTTGCTATATACAGAAAAACTGAAAGGTTTGTAACCACGTACCAATCACTAATAGTCTACAATTGGCATCACCCTTGAATGTGTGGGTGTCTGTAGTTTACTGATGCACTTCAAAAGAAGACAGAAGATATCACCTGTTAAACCCTTCAGCACACATAACACTATCCAGGAATCAACATTTATTGCAGGCTTTTTGGAAGGTATAATTTACATTTAGCAGAACATTACCAGCAGCTCTGAAGTATGTCTCTGCCCCTTCCCAGTCCATCTCTTACCATATTCCCTAGGAGCTACCGCTGTTCTGATTTTTCCCACAGTAGATTACTTTTGCCTATTTGCCCAATTACTATTCCATATGAATGGAATCACGTTGTACATACTATTTGTGTCTGTCTTCTTTTACTCAGTACGCTGTTTCTGAGATGTGTGTATGTTGTTGAATCTGTTTGTGCTCTTTCCCATTCATTGCTGAGTAATTTCCCTTTGCAGAGCAGTTTTATTAATTCATCAGTTTATTATCTGTACTATTTCAGTTTGCATTATTATAAATAAAGCTACTATATAAATATTCATGTATGCATTTTTGTGTAGACATACGCTTTCATTTTTCTTGGTAAATAGTAAGGAGGGGAATTGCCATGTCATAAGATAGTTGTATATTTTATTAGACGCAAACAGAATGTTTTCCAGAGTGGTTGTGCAATTTATATTTCCACCAGAAATGTATGAGCATTCATTTTCCTTCTCATCCTCATTAACATTTGGGGTTCTCATTCTTTATTTTTATCCATTCAAGTGGGTGTAAAATGGTATCTCATTATGATTTCAATGATCATTTCCCGGATGACTAATCGCATCAGTGTGTTTTTATGCTCTCACTGGCCATTTCTGTACTTTTCTTTTTAAAGTGTCTATTCAAGTAATTTGCCCAATTTTATGCGGTTGTTTGTCTTTTTACTTGTAGGCGTTCTTTTTAAAAAGAATCAGATCTGTTGAGGTATACTTGACATACAATAAATTGCACATGATTGATAAGATTCTCTCTCTTACACACACACACACACACACACACACACACACACACATGCACACGCACAACTATGAAGCCATCAGCACAAGCAAGGTGATAAACATTTTTCACCATCAAAGTCTCTTCAGCCTCTGCTAATCTCCCCTTGCCCCTCCCCAGCTCCAAAAAACCACTGATTTGCTTGCTGTCGCTGCAGGGTAGTTGGTATTTTCTAGACTTTTATATAAGTAGAATAATATAATACGTGTTCTTTTGTGTTTGGTTCCTTTCACTCAACCAAATGATGCAGAGATTTCCTTAGTCTGTTTGTGCTGCTATACCAAACTGCCTGAGGCCACATGCTGCTACAGTTTGGTTGGAGGTCCCCCCCCCCCCCCCCGAGGCTCCGGGGTGGTAGGATTGAGAGGCGGTTAGGCCCTGAGAATCCCTCCCTCATGCCTGGGATGCAGGTCCTTAGTCATTTTTTCTTTATCAGTTACCCAGTGCCTTAGTCAAAATACCTGAGCCTGGGTAGTTTGTAAAGAGCTGAAGTTAAAAAAAAAAGAAAAGAGGTCCATTTATTTATTTCACACATTCTGGACCCCGAGATCAAGAGGATGGCAGATTCAGTGGCTGATGAAGGCTTCTCTCTCCTTCCTAGATGGCATTTTTTTTTCCAGAGGCTGAAGGGACACAAAAAGATATATATCATGTCCTCACAGCAAAAGGGACAGGGACGGAAGGGGGAAAAGAACCAGGCAGCTCTCCGAAACCTCTTTTACAAGATCATCAACCCGTTCATGGATGTGGTGCCCAAAGGCTGCCTCCCTTCTCCTTCGGCAGTTCTGGCGATTGAACCAGTGGTTGTGCCACCCAGGGCCACGCTAAGGAAGCTCTCTGCCACTGAGCTACATTCCAAGCTAATATTAATTTTATTTGAAGACAGGCTCTTGCTGAATTTCCCAGGCTGACCTCAAATTTGAAATCCTCCTGCCTCAGCTTTTCAAGTAGCCAGGATGACAGGGTCAACTCAGCTAAGCTGCTGTTTCTTTATATCATTACCTTTGAGTTCAAGTTCTATTGTGCATTTTGGAGGGACACACACATTGAAACAGTAGCATAGATTCACTTATGTTGATGAACACACAGTTCACTCCTTTTATTGCTGCTAGCATTCCTTCGCACATACATGCCGCAGTGGACTTATCCATTGATTTGTTGATAGACATTTGGGTTGTTTCCAGTTTGAAAGTCATGGTAGCCAGCTTTTGCAATTGTGACAAAACACCTGAGAAAAGAAACTTAAGAGGAGGAATGCTTTACTTCAGCTAATGGTTTCAGGGTTTCAGTCCGTAGTCAACTGGCTCCATTGCTTTGGGCCCAAGGCAAGACCGAATATCTTGATGGTAGAAGCATATGACAGAGGAGGATGATCACCTCATGGCAGCTGGGAAGGAGAAGAGGAGAGAGAGAGAGAGAGAGAGAGAGAAACAGGAAGAAGAGAGGAAGAGAGAGGAGAGGGGTGTGGAGCAGTGCAAGGGACAAGATGCAGCTTTAAAACTGAGGCCCCAGCGCCCTACTTTCTTCCACAAGGTTCTACCTCCTAATAGTCCATTCACCTACCAACCTATCAGTGGATCAGTACAACAAATGCAATCATGTTATTATACAAATATTGAAAAGAATAATGAATACAATAGAAAGAGTTCAATATTTAAAAATCCCAACAAATCTTCTGACAGACAAATGTGAATATACTCTGTTCCAGTTGTGTGTGCCGTAGACAGGAGGAAAGATGCCTAGGAAGTGAGATGCAAATCAGATCGAGGCATTAGCAGGATAAAAATGTTACAATCATAAATGTCGGGAAATACACTAATCCCTAATAGCTTCTGGCAATCTTGAGGAGGTCTTTGCTCTTTTCAGAGAATTGTGAAAAGGGTTGAAAACCAATTTGCTTTTGTACTAAAAGGGCAGAGTGACCCAGTTAATATATGGTTGTAGACAAATGCGTGTACATTCATACAGTTCAGCGGCGCTGGATGCTGCTTCTCCCATGTAATCTTGAGCTTCCCTTTGTCCTTCAGTAATTGTTGAAGATGTGTTTGTTCTGACCAACTATACATCATAGGACGAGATCACAATGTGTTTGTTGAACACATAGATCGCTTTCTATTTTTTACTCTGTTAGCAGCGGGCCAGTGAATATAGATGTACACCAATAAGTCTTCATACACCTTCGGATTTCCCTAATTATATTCCTAGAAATTAATTTAGCAAATTAAAGCATGTAAACATTTAAAACATGTTCTTATTGGCATATTACTTGATATTTTTGCCATGTTACTTTCTATAACTGTGTCATAATGTGTTTTGCTAGGAAGGTAATAAAAAATTAGGTATCTCTAAATCCAATACAGAGGACAATATTACCAGTAGAGAAGGTTGTGCAGTAACAAAATATTCAAAATAAAGCCTTTTTTTGCACAAAATAAAAGAATGAAAATTTGGCTAAGATAATAGAAACTATAAGGAACTTAAAACCAATTAGAATGTTTAATAAAGAATCAAATTAATCTTTTAGATATTAAAAAAATACACTATCTCAAACTCAGGCCACATAGAAGTGTCTTTAAACAGCAAGAGACAAATGAGTGTATGGAGAATGTGTCAATGAAAAAAAGTTCATTGAAAATATCCAACAAGAGAGAGAGGAATGGAGTGGATTCAGTATCTGAGGATGTCATACAAAGTCCATGGAAGGTTTCGGCTCACAAATTCAAGGATTCCAGTGAAACCCAAGAAGAATAACCAGAATTAGGCATTGACCCAAATTTCTGAA